GTTTCTGCCTATTATAGCCAATGAAACACATATTGAGACAAATATATGGGACTGACTCTCGAGTTATTTCACTGAAGTCAATGGGGTTACTCTGCATTTTGATTTTGATTTGGCAAAGCATGTGGTCTAAAGTTGGTCTTGGAGACAGGAATAAAATTAAGCACATGCATAAGTACTTGTCTGGGGCTTTTTGTTTAATTGGTTCCATACAGAGAGCAGACTTTAGCTAAATACATTTGATACGGTTTCCTTCTGATTTTCATCACTATAGATAATAGCTTATAGTAGGAAAAGCGTACTATAAATATCACACATTTGCCAAAGAAGGGGCAAATAAGAGGTACTGATGCTGCACTTGAGTCAGCTAGTAGTGCAGAATTTGATGGCCAGGTTATTGCCATCTGGCTATTAAATTCGCTGATAGGTTGGAATAAAATATGCTTTTATGCATTAACTAATGAATTTAGTATTCAAGAGCAAAGGAAAAAGAAATCCTTTGGTTTCTCAGGTGTTCAGAAGCACTGCTATTTCTCTGCCATTACCCATTCCCCAGTATTTTGCGTCTGTCACTCTCTCTGGTGGGTATATTCAAACCTTAAAGTTGTTCTTTTTTTTTTTTTTTTCCCACATGGTACAGAGCTGCATGCATGTGTGTTTTTAAATAAGGGCACCTGCATAAAAAATGTCTATTCTCATTAGATCCATTTTCTCAATTAAATTCAAGTTTCTGTGTCCAAAAGGCATAAATCTGGGTATCGATTTAGTCATAAAATAATGAAACTCCCAGCAGTCTTCTAAACCCATTTTACTTGGATGAGCGTATAAGCTTTTAAAATATCAAGTTATTCCAGTATTTAATACACATAACTGCTTCCAGAGGTCTGAAGGCAATAAGGCATATCTTCCCCACTCCATTTGAAGCACTGCAGCGAGAGCTAGCCAGCACCTTACTACTGTTTTTAAGGCTTTTGACAATTTTATTCAGTGTGAGTTTGATACTTTCTGAACAGGGGCTATATCCCCTGAAGCCAAAATCAATAACCTATCGAATCAAAGCTCTGTAAAGTACCAATGGACTCCCAGTGTTTTGCTCCCATAAATAAAATTCAGCTCAACTCTAGGCTTCCGAGCCAGGCTAACTGATCTGTTCCAATGAGTTAACTGTATCGTCAGCGTGTACTTCCAAAAATCTCTTTTTAGGCAACAAAATAATGATCTATTCACTGTAAAGTAAAAAAATCAAACCCAGTTTCACTTACTTGTGTTCAGAGAACAACTCTAAATCTTGTTTCCCCCAAACAGGACAATATTTCCCTGCACAAGTGCGTTCTTTACCTTGTTCATGCTGAGCAGAGCACACACAACCTCAATGTAAAATAAATCTTTGATGTTTCTTGTAGTCCTATTTTGACAAGTTAAACTGGATGGCACAGCACATAGATCAGTGTTGGTAAATAAACTTTAAGCTACATTGGCCTCTTACTAAACCCTGTCTAATCTCAGGGCAGTTCGAAAATATAGGAAGAATGGTAAACTGGAGCAAATCTTAAACATGCCAGTGGTTTTATTTGAATCTTTTCCACTCCTCACACACACGCTGAAGTTGCTGCTTGATAAAACAGAACCCCAGAAAGATGAGTATCTTAGGAGTTGAGAAACCTCTTCTGCTGCAAAGTGTAATCGTGCAAGGAGTAACTTACGTTGCTAAATCAACACGTACACCACACGCTGCTTTTTTCTCCAGCTGAGTTTAACAAACAAACCTGCCCTGCATAATGCAACAAACAGTCTTCAATAACTAGGAGCAACATTTCATAGTCAGTGGTTCCATAACGTATTTGATCAGCTGATGCAAGCTTTGGGGTTCTTTTCCTTTCCTAGCTTTCCTTTAGCAACAGAAAGCTCAGCTCGCTGCTGTGTTATCCCAGGATTTACACAGCTGCACAACCGGAGCAATGGATCCTCACTGTGTGTTTCACTGAGACTGCACACACAGAAAGCTGAAGCAACACGATGATGAATTATCTTCTGAATACAAGTATTCAAATTATTAATGAATATGCAATACAATTACTCTTAGTAGTTTCATATCTTAACTCCTGTTCATCAGGAAGACTATTTTCTAAATATAATCTTAAGGTCAGCATATAAAAAAGAAGTATGTAGCTACATTTCACATGCTGTTGCATATTAAAAATAAAAATTAACACCTAAACTCATCAAAATTGGTGTCTTTTAGTTCTGCCACCCCTCTTCTCACTCTGATTAATGCCTCACCAATAAATACAGTGATATAGTTGCTAATTTTTTCTCCGCATGGCATTTGCGTACTTCCCCTAAAGCAAACATCACAGCAACTTATTTATATATTGATCTCTCTGGTGTCCTCCAGGAAAACAGTTCCCTAACATTGCATTCCTCCAGATGGGTCTTCATATTCTCGCCTGTTCCACTAGTAGGCTCAGTTTTATTAACTCTTAGAGTGATTCTCCAGACCCAATAATATCATCTGCAATGCCCTCCTTCCACTATACATTTTTTCTCTGCAGCTAGCAAGGACGATGCCCAGTTTTGGAGGGCTGAACAGCTGCCGAGCAGGACCATGACCTTTGTTTCTTGACATCTCTTGTTTTGACCCCTGCTTCCTGGTCGCTGGAGAGATGATTGACTAAGTGTGCAGGGAAGTCCATTTTTAGTACAGTGGACTGGAGCACGGCATGACAAACTGTGATGTCTGAGTTTCGCGTTACACCATCTGGCCTGCCATTTCCACAGCCTCACATCAGAGTCCTGATGATGTATGTTTAAGCTTGGCACTATCATTTATCTCCTATCTTGTGTTTAAACAGATGCAAGCTGAGTATAACAGAAAAGGAGACCTTGATGCAGGAGTCGCCGCAGAAAGCGATGCTCTTGAGCTGTCTACAGGCTCCAAGATTAAGTGTAAAATCTGACAGGGAGGATATGTATTAAAAAATATGTGTTGACAGAATGATTTAACTAATATTTTAAAGGCAAAACATCAACTGCATTTCCATATCATTTATAACGTTACTGAACAAGGTACTACAAAGCAGACTATCCCCTTCTGTCACCATCATCTTATTCGCAACTTTATTTTACAGATCAAGAAAGTTTAAATAAAAGGAAGCTCTGGAGCCTGATTTTCAGCTGCTGTAAATCAACCCAGCTACAGGGATAGCACCAGGGCAGACACATTAATGAAGTGATATCAATTTGCATCAGCTGAGCATCCAGTTCCTAATTCTGATACAAGCCTTTGCACACAAGGATAAATTGCTGCATCACCAGGAATACAAGACCTCGGTGATTAAAACGAACCCTTGAAATGCCACGGATGGGAAGGCAGGACTGCACGGGCAGCACCACACACATTCATCGGCCAGGAAAAGGAGAGGAAAGGAGAAGGGTCTGCCTTGTGCCATAAGGCTGTGCAGTGGGGCTGGGTGTGGGGTTCCCACTGACCCGAAGATGCTCAGATATTTTTTCTTCGTCTTGCATCGAAGTACACATCTCCTCCTGGACCCAGCTCACATAAATCAGCAAATCCAAAGGATTGCACACGAGCTTTGGAATCAGCCACTGAAGCCCAGATCAAGTCCAAACTAGAAATTCAACTAATTGCAATGCTAAAATTAGGGATGTGAGCTTGCGCTCTTACTCCATGGAAAGAGGTAGGCACCACCAGAAAGGAATGCAGCACTTGTAAGCTACAAAACAAATTCTGTGGGGTGCAAAGCTCATTTCAGTGGCAGCAAAGGGTTGAGCAATTGCACTGTAGCTTGGAAACCTGAGCCCCAAAAGCAAAAACATCCCAGAGAGAACTAGCAAATGGCCAGCAATGCAGTCAGATGGAAACTTCTTGGGGAGAGACTGGAGGTTGGAAGGTGAAGAAAATGTGATGAGCAGAATAAAATAAATAGGCGACAGAGATGTAAACAGTTCGGGAAGACTGAACTGTACAAAACCAAGATACATCACCCTGCTAGTCTGTCAGCATTGGTATAAGCAGCAGCAGCGCTTTCACAATGCCCGTGGGACATCCCAGTGCCAAAACCAGACCAGGAGCAGCCGCGGCCCCAGGGGGGATGAGGCAGCAGCCCTGAGTGACACACACCCTGCAGCAGCTCCTGAGCAGAGAATTTTCAGCCCATATCAAAATGTTAGCACTTCATTTTGTGAATGGAGCTATGCTTTTATTGCATGCACAATTAGCCTTTCGTATTAGCAACTTCCTAGCAACTCTGTTTCTTAAAATAGGGACTTACAGTGCAAGCTTTTATCTTATATAATCCCTTAGAAAAAGATAGCTCAGACACCTTTTGGGGGTTTAAACATCAAACCTTCAGCTTGAGACCTGTCTTTATCAAAGGAACTAGCAGCTCTATCTAGGGTTTATGTTCTTTAGAGGAATTCCAAATTGCCTGTTTTTTATAGACTACCTACATAACAACCTCCTACAGTATTTAAATTTTTGTAATTTTCTACTCCTAATGTGATATTCACATTTAAATGCACAGAGTATTTTACATTTATCTAGTTAATATCATAGTTATGTCTTTCTTTAAATGCCTGTTATTCAACATCTTATTAATAGTGAACTGTTGTGTTTTTTTTGTTATGTTTTGTTTTAAACAGAAACTGTATAAATTTAGTTTATGGTGATTTCTTGAGTCTTTTCAGCCAGAAGAAGAGCGTTAATAGCCTAAAAGACTGTATTTATAAAACATGTTTGTCTATGGAACCTCTGATGTATCATTATTATGGGAAAACTAAAGCATTTTCTTGACTTTTCTTCTCACAGATGTTTCATTTTTAAGCACTAACAAACATGACTCCTCTAAAACACACTTGCTGTTTAGTACCAATCCTTAGAAATCATTTTGGCATTAAAACAACAAAGTTCTCCCACACAGGGCATTTAAAGTCTTCCCAGGAAGCTGTCCCAAAGGCAGAGGTGATGGCAGGGCCATGCCTACCTTCCTGGACCCACTGCCATGGGGTCCCAACAGTGTCCTCTCGGCCATCAGCTGCCAGACACGATCCCATCCACGGTGGTGCAGAACCCCCAGTGCGTGAGTTATGCAAGTGGGGTTCATTTGGCTCAGGGAAACATCTGATTAACAAGGAGTTTCCCCTGCCTCCTGGGCAGGAGATAAGGGAGGAGAAGCCAGGTGCGGTGTGATTTCTCATCATGCTCACCCCTGCAGCCTTCTTACTCCCAGGGGCTTGCGTTTTGGTGCACAGGTGGGCCACAGCCAAGAGCAAAGCCTTTGCACGTGCTGCACTTGAAGAGCAGAAATGCTCATGGGGTTCTGAGGATGTCCTTAGCCACTGCATTGCATAGGGCCTCTGGAAGCAGATAGCAGAAATGTGTGTTTTCCTGCCAGGCTCTGACACAAGCAGGACCTGAACTGCTCGCAGTCACACTGCTCCTGGCCAGAATTACCCAAATGCTCAGACCTTTCATTCACCTGGGGCTCCATCAGTATTTGCAACCCCTTCTGCCCAGCACATCACAGCTTCTGCCTCCTGGGCACAGAGGTGGTCACATCTACACCACAAGCACCTCTCGCCTTGCATGGGTGAGCACTTTGCCTTGTATTGGCCTTCCTTGCCAACACAGCACACATGGCCTTCTCCCTCGGTTTTGGTACCTAACAGCAAAACTTCAAGGAGTCCTTTTCCTCCCCTTTATTTATCCACCAAGTGTGCTTTGCAAAGGCTAATTTATATTTGAGCAGCATTCTGTACGGAGGCATACGCAAGGCAGCTCAGCCACCAGAAAAGTTAATATGTGCTTTGCATTTGCTGCCTCTAATTACAGGAGGGAAGGAGTGGAGGTACAGCCGTGCCTGCCTCGGCACGAGCCAGTTTGACTATTGCAAAGCTAATTAAATATGTCTCCTGTATATAAAATATATCATCTCCAGATAACAGCATACTGTTAAATTCTTCATCTTATTAAAAGCTTGCATTAATGCTTTTCCAACATAAATTTTAACTGTGGACAGGTACTATTTGAGGAGCCTGACAATAGGACTGACCTAGATTAGGCTGACAGTGCCAAAAGATATATCACCTCTAGCTGTCTGGGAGAGAAGAAGGATGAGGAATACATTCTCCATTATTGCCTAGCGCTGATGTGCCGGCATTATCTCCAGCAGCCCGGTGTTGCTTTGCCTCCTGCTCTCTTGGTACAGTAGACAGCTATCCCACGCCAAGGAACGCTATTCTGTGCTTGCTGTCTCTTATTTTCCACCCGATAATTCAGCTACAGTGGGATTTAATGGGGCAATGCATAATGATTTTAAAACCATTGATAAGTCCCCCCATAGTATACAAAATTACAGGAGATAACTCTGGCTTCGTGGTAGGGTTTGTGCGGGGGGTTCTCACGGGCATTTAGGTCCAGGCTGTCGTCTGTACAGGAGCAGAGAGGCATCTGGCTGCACCAACACTCGAGCTTTTGCAAATTATCTTATCTCTAAGGGTGCTTGGACCCTTCTCCTGCTAGACCTAAATAAGCAAGAAGCAGTGGTGGCAGTTTTAGAAACCGCAGACAGCATCGCCGCATAGGAAACATTTTGTACTTTTAGTGTAGGTACACAGAGCTTATCAGAGATCTTTTCCAGGCATCCTTGTACAAAAAGGAGCCAGAAAGCAGGCTCATGAAAAACACTTTACTGTCACACAACTTCTAATGCAGAAAACAAGACTGCTGAAGAGCAGCAATATTTCTCACATGCATTGCTGAATATTCAAAAGATATGAAAATAGCTTTAAGAGTCTAAGAAAATAGAAATTCCAAATATTAATAGGAACTCTGCCATTGATTTTAGCACAGATCTTGCACTGACATTGTGAGATTGCTCAGTTTTAGACACTTGATTGACACAGTGATGGCTCATTCAAAGTGTATGCAAAGTCAGAGCAACTGTATCAGGCTTTTCTCTTGACTTCAGATTTTTTAACTTTTCCCACTGACATCCCCAGGGCCGTTGTATTGACAGAATAATACTTCTGTTGCAATGCTGGTGCATGAGAGACTTTCCTTTTAGGGGAGGGGGAAGGGAGGACTCTTCCACTGCTGTCCTCCTGGATGAAGAGCTCAGGATAGAGCAAAGGAGGTGCAGCATTGTAAGAAGTCGATTCAGACAACCTGCCTGGCTGCAGAGTCTCCAGCACATGAAATTCTCTTTGAAATAATTGATGGGCTGCACACCCAAAAGTTCTGTGAAAACCAGCACCAGCACCTCTGAAAATCAGACTTTATACGGATTCTGCTACTGGGAGGATCAAGCCAAGGATCAACTTTGGAGGCACATCTCTGTTTTTACAACTTGTTTGTGGTGTTTCGCAGAGTTGGCTCAAGCCTCCTCAACAGGGCAGGAGAAAAACAGCATTACTATTCCCTGAAATAAGACAATATTGATTCCCAAGACAGGGTGTTATCTGGCATGATTCCTTCCCTATACACCCAGCAAGTCATCTCACGTTCCTCCTGGCAGGGAGCAAGCAAAGCTCCTCACCTGCTGTAGCATGGATCCGTCCCTTTCCCAGGCAGCAAGCTGATGGCACCTTGGGCTCATTGACTAAAAAACAAATGCAGGCAAAAGATGCCTCTATGGGCAGAAGGAAATTACTCCATTGCTACCTACTTTTGCTATACAACAGGGTGAAAGATAAAGGAAGAAAAACTGACAGGGGAAAGGCCTCCCTAGGGGCAAAGTCATTCCTCAAGCACTAGGGTGATAAAGTAAAACTTACTGTATCTAGGGATTCCATCTGATAAAAAGAAAATTCAATACCAAAAACGTTGGAAACCCAGACAGCAACAGCTGAAAGGGTCTCAGCATCACTTCTTTGGCAGGAGTCAATGGCTATAACTGCCTGGGTACAGAGTACATACAAGAATATGTCAGGGATCTATCAAAAATGTCCTACAAAAACAGATGTTTCCACCTACTCAGAGATATGGACAAGAGTTTCAGTTACCCTAAATCCCTCTCATGCTCTTCCAAATATATACCCATCACATGCCCTTTAAAGTGTGAGAATGATGCAAGACAGATTTCACATGTATGAAAATCTTACCCTGGATTTTTACAAGAAAAAGTGTAATGTATCATTAGACTTTTGACCAGCAGTTCCACTAGCTGTGGAAATTCACCTCCTTGTGTGTACAGAAATGTGTCTAATCCAAGGAAGAAAAATTAAAGCTTACAATAAACCATCACAATCTGCTTGATCAGCTGGAGAACAGAAATAAAAAAAATGCTCCCTCTTAAAAGAGCAGCGTAAATTATATCTTGATTTGTCCATAGAAATAAGTGACAACAGCTTCTGGATAGCACCACTTCCTATCCGCATATTTAAACTTAAAAGTCAAAGTTGAGTCAAAAAATATTGCTGCCGTGAAAGATAAATATATTGTGCATATTAGCTATAACAGGAATATATGCTACTGCATAAATATTTAAATTCAGATTTGGAAACTATGTATTTTGAAGAAACCAAGGCCAATATATATTGGATTACAAATTCATATTTACAATTTCCTAAACACAACCAAACAAAAAAACACCTTATGATTTCTTGTTTCACTGAGCTGAGGTGGCAATAATTTGTCTATGTTGTACAAATGCTTGATTTGCACTCTATTCTCCAAGCTAACATTTTCCATTTCCTTTTAACCACCAGAAAAGTGAAAACATTGCACTAAAATATTTCCATTCAAATTCTGTGGATTAAATCATATGCTTTTAAAATTCACTCAATGACTAAGACAGTTTTCCTGAAGCACTCCAACCCAGTTAGTCAGGAGGAAAGAGAAGCAGTAGAGTCACACTAATAGAGCATCGCTAGTTTGGAACGGGTAAAAGAGAATGCAGACCAAACCCATCGCCACATGACATCACCAAAAGAAGTATAGGAGGTGGAGGGAGAGATCATTGCACATAATTAGAGCAGAAAGAGCTGGAAGTATCTATTTTAAGACATGTAAAGAACATGAGCAAGGAAGAAGCATTTCATTTGTCCTGCTTTTCTTTAAAGTATGCAAGGATGGTTTGATTAAGTTGAGGAAGACAATAGATAAATTTTATAGAACAAATTAGTGGGGCTAATAAAAAAAAAAAAAAGTCAATAAAATAATCTGGTTTTCCTATCCTGTGAGCCTACACCTGCAATTGTTCAGATTGGGTAAGAACCCAGAGGGGTGAAAAATGACACCACTGAACTTGTAGAGTCCTGTTCACTCGTGCTCGACCGCTGTGTTTTTCATGGGGATAGTCAGCGTTTCCATGCAGGCACCTCAAAAATGAAGAGGAATGCTAAATCCACACTAGAACAGCTGATGGTACAAATTGCACATTGCTCTGAATTTCAGAAAATGATTGCTGGTTTTAGTTGCTCCCTTTGGGTGGCTGCCCAAGAGAATTGATTGCCAGAGAGCAAAGGCTTGGGCTCACTGTGAATCAGGAGCTAATAAAATGTCCCAAGGGACAGATGAAGGCGTGCCGACTGTGTTTGAAAGTGTAGGCTTTTAAACATGGCATGACTACAACAAAAACAAAGTTTTGATCATAACCAGCAAAATAAAAATACCAGATTCCAGGAAAAAAAAATATATATATATATTTTGTTTTTTTTTTTTTTGCAAAATCTCGTGAGAATTACGTCACTTTTGAGCACCTATAATGCTAAGTTAAATAAGTTAGATGTTTATCTTTTTTTGGTCCCAGGGGAAGCCTGGTTAACCTTTATATTCCTCTCCTTTTCATTCTACAATCAACTGTTGGAAAAATGTAGCAAAACTCTCATCCATTACCAGACCATCCATGATTGTACTGAAAGGATATGCCAGGTACAGTTAGTGCCTCGATCCAAAGGGAAACGTAAGTGACATAGAAGTTTCAAGAGACTTTTTGATAAGTCCAGTTTTCACTAAACTGAGCTATTTTACCTCTCACTGCCTCTTCCCAGCAAGCTTCCTGCAGCACTGACAGCCCACTACGTTCATGAGGAGCATTGACATCATGTCAGTAACACTAAACCAGCTTTGACAACACAGCTCGCTCTCTAGGACTCCGCAGGCTGACCAGTGGGTTTCCAAAACCGTCTCTTTTCAGAAAGTTTTTATACTTGTTCATTAATACTTAGTCTAAGGGCAA